CCAGAACATTAAGCTATAATGGTTATATTAGTGTCCATTTAATATGTGTGTAAAGGGATTTGCCCTTTCCCTGACAATAGAGCTTACAATCTACCAAAATTATATGTTGTCTTTACATTTTTTTGCACCAGTGGATGGAAGGAAGGGACTGGTGGCCACAATACAATTTTCCTCTATAGTTACCGCCAGATCTGTAAGTAAGTGGGATTACAGCACTAAGTACATCACAATACTATTTGCCTTTATTTATTTATTTATAAAATATTTTACCAGTAAGGATACAGTGAGATTTCTCTCGTTTTCAACTATGTCATTGGCCCACAAAACACTGCATTGTTACAATAGGGTGCAATATTACACAAAAAATACAATATACAAACACCATATGTATATACACATACATATATAAATTTAACACATAACAGGTAATAAATATAATTAACCATGACAGGTGCATTCTGTGCTGAGATATATTGGTATACTGTTAATAGCACCCGATTGATTCCTCTCTTGCAACTGTCATTAGTCTAATACTATCCTTACCTTTTAACTTTACCCCACTCCCTCTAGCATGTAGGCTCATTGAGCAGGGCCCTCAACCCCTCTGTTCCTGTGTGTCCAACTTGTCTGGTTACAACTACATGTTTGTTCATCCTCCCACTGTAAAGCACTGCGGAATTTGTTGGCACTATATAAATAATAACATAATAATAATAATAATGAATAAAAACATAATATTGCCATAGAGCTCTTAAAAGATTTTAGATTGAATGAAGATTTGACTGTGTCCCTGAGGTTATTCCATAATTGTGGTGCTCTGTAGGAAAATGAGGATCGAGCCACTTTATTTTTGTATTGCGTTATGCTAAATATCGTGCTGGTACTGGATCGGAGGTTATAGGAGGTGGGAACAGCCGGGGAGAGCATTCTACTCAGGTAGGGTGGGAGCTTCCCAGAAGAGCTCTAAAGCACAAGGCCGGAAAGATGAAGAATGCGTCTGGATTCCAGCGACAGCCAGTTTAGCTCTTTTAACATGTCACAGTGGTGGGTAAAGTAATTACATTCTAGTACAAAGTGGTAGAATGAGTTATTCAATGTACTAAGTTTATTAAGGTGGGTTTGCGGTGCGAGTGCCTAAACGACATCCCCACAATCAATGACCGGCATTAGCATTTGTTGCACCATCTGTTTCCTTACTGTAGGGCTTAGGCAGGGTTTGTTTCTGTACAGGGTACCTAGTTTGGGATAAAGTTTTGAAGAGATTTTTTCAATATGAAGGCCAAAGGATAGATTGGGGTCTAGATATTTATAAGAACAAACTGCGGTCATATTGCTATTTGAATTTGTTCTGATACATAGTTGTTGATTTTGTAGTTTACGTAATTTAGGTACAGTTCCAAAGATCATTGTAACAGTTTTGTCAGTGTTTAGGAAGAGTTTGTTATCCGCTATCCACTTTTCTACCTCTGTGAATTGGTTTTTGAGCACAGCCTCAAGCTGCGGTATCTTGGGATTACTAGCGTAGATTACAGTGTCATCTGCATACATTTGTACAGTTGAGGATTTGCAGAGGATTTGCAGACGTTACTCAGATAATTTATAAATAATGTGAATAGCAGGGGGCCGAGTATTGAGCCTTGGGAAACACCACACGTGACTGGAAAAGGGAGGGAGGCGCTATTAGAAATGGTCACATATTGCAATCGGTCTGATACATATGATCGCAACCAGGTTAGTGGACGATCACCAATGCCTGAGTTTTTAGGTTTTGGAAAATAATGCCGTCGTCTACTGTGTCAAAGGTCTTGGCAAAATCAAGTAAAATAGCTGTAGTTAAGTCTCCTTGTTCCATGTCAATTTGGATGTCACTGCAAACTTTTAAGAGGGCAGTCGAGGTTGAGTGATTTGGACGAAAGCCTGATTGATCAGGGGTCAGATAATTTGATCGTTGATAATATTCACATAGCTGCGTGTGGATGCATTTTTCCAAGATTTTGACAATACTGGGAGTAATGATATCAATGAAATAGTTAGATACCAAAGTATTGTCACCACTTTTATGGATAGGTACTACTTTTGCCATCTTCCAAAGTATGGGTATGTAGACAATACTATGACGACTCTCTGTCCTTATGGATTGCAATAACAATGCTCGACATTCTGAAGTTTATGTTTTTAACGTGAATGAAGCTTCAATCTTCCGGCTGCTCCTGGATGGTTAATTGAGCATGATGGGGCCAAAACAATATGGGTGCCAAACATTAGTCATATCTGCCTTAGACGTTTGCTCTCCTGGGTACCTGTTCTACCGGCCATGGAATTAATCTGTATTAATGTTCATTGTACAAATAGATGTTTGTAATTATTATGACCATTTGTATAGCTCTGCAGGCTATAGAAACATTTGCAAATCAATCACTGTGTCACTAGGAACAAGAAATAAATGTAGTTGCAAAAGTACACATTGAGCCTCAGGATGTAGATCTGTTTTGTTTTGTAAGAATATTTTGATTTCTAAACGAGGTAATCAGCGTCTGGCTCTAGTGAACACACTTTGATAAGAATATCATTAGTTATGGAATGTATTGTAAACCACAGGGCTGGCAACATGTTCTACAACACAATGTGATCTGGTTAAAAGTGTGAAATAATACGGCTAGGGTATGACCTGTGCTTTGGTATCCGTGAAGATAGCACTGTTAAAAATCATTTACATTTCTGTTATAGCCATGTATCCATTCTAATTACAATTATCACCAGCATCCTTAATGTGGAACCTCCACACAGGATCCTCCATAGACCCCTTGGCTGTAGTCTATAAATAAATATAAAATCCACATATTTTATTCACTCCTTAGGGCTAAGGCCTAAGGTTCAAACCAGAAGCGTAACTAGAAACCACGGGACCCCGTGCAAAAACTGCCCTGGCCCCCCCCATAGTCTACCCCCCCACCACCACCCCATACGTCTACCCTCCCCCTCCCATATGTTGCCCCCCCCACACATGAAGAGAAATAGATACACATGCAGACACACACATAGACACACACATATACAGAGACACACACATACACACAGACACATTCATACTGGCACATACATACATACACATACATACATAAAAACACACACACACACACACTTACACAGACACACACATACAGACACACACACATACAGATACACAGACATACAGACACATACATACATACACATACATACATAAAAACACACACACACACATACAAACACACACACACTTACACAGACACACAGACATACAGACACATACATACATACACATACATACATAAAAACACACACATACATACAAACACACACACACACTTACACAGACACACACACACACATACAGACACACAGACATACAGACACACATACATACATACAGACACACATACATACATACAGACACATACATACACACACACATACATATAAACACACACACACATAAAGACACACAGATATACACACATACACATACATAAAAAAACACACACACACACACACATACAAACACACACACTTACACAGACACACATACATACATACATACATACAGACACACATACATACATACAAACACACATACAGACACAGAGACACATACATGCAGACATACATACACACACACACACATACAGACACATACATACACACATACGGAGAAACATTCATACAGGCACACATACACAAACACACACACATACATACAAACACATACATATACAAAATGTTTCAGTCATCCTCCTGTTTCCTACCTTTTAGGTGCAGGCCCCTCCTGACTTTCCCTGGGGTCCAGTGGTGGCTCAGCCTGATGGGAGTCAGAGTTCCCACTCTGGCTCCCTCCTCTTCCTCCTGCGCAGCGCTGTGTGTAAGCTGGGAGGAGTGACCGGGGCAGTCACTTCCTCCCAGCTATGATGTCATTTTAGGGGGCCCAGTCGCACTGTGAAAGCGCCACAGCGCTGACCGGCCCCCTGGAAATTCATTTCCATCAGATGGCCCTAACAGCATGTGCCACCGGATGGACCCCTTTAATGCGGCACCGGCGGTTCTACCACACTGAGGTTTAGGGTACTTTTTCATTTAAAAAAAATATGTTAATTTGTTGATTCATTTGATAACAAGTTGATTAAAATGAAATGCATTTTTAGAATGGGAAAGCTCCCCCTACAAAAAAAGCATAAGTATGGCTAGCACAGCGTAAGCCACTTGGAAGGAATTGTAAAGTCTATTGTATTAGGTCATAAGTAGGTTTAGGTCATAAGTGTGACCAGGGCCGGACCGGGGATACAAAGCAGCCCTGGAAAAAAAAAATCTATGCCAGCCCCATAAGTCATTGTGCTATGTAGTGTGTGTGTGTGTGTATATATATATATATATATACACACATACACACTTTTATATATACCATATTTATTATTGGTATATTTATTTTTCTAATTCAAAATATTGGTCCTTTCGGGGTAATTCAATTACATAGTAAAGCATACTGCAGACACGTTAATCTCACTGACATAAGCTCATTGATACACAGGCTCACTGACAGACAATCTCAATGACACACACTGACAAGCTTACTGGTACACACACACAAATTTAGTACAGACAAACTCACACACTCACTACAGACAAGCTCACTTACACATACACACTCCCTGCAGACAAGCCCATTGACACACACATGCTTCCTACAGAAGACCTCACTAACACACAGGTTCACTACAGACAAGCTCACGATCACACACATGCTTACTACAGAAAAGCTCACTGCACACTTATGCTCCCTACCAACAAGCTCACTGACACACACATGATCTCTACAGACAAGCTCACTGGCACACACATGATCACTACAGACAAGCTCACTGGCACAAATAAAAGTTCACTCACTAGCAGACACACACACACAAGCTCACTCACTAGTAGGCACACACACACACACACACACACAGAAGCTCACTCCCTAGCAGATGCACACACACACACACACACACACAAAAGCTCACTCACTAGCAGATGCACACACACAGAAGCTCACTCACTAGCACACACACACACACACACAGAAGTTTACTCACTAGCAGGCACACACGCAAAGACACACACTCCCTCACTAGCAGATGTGCACACACACACAAGCTCCAAGCTCCCTCACTAGCACACACACATACACACGCTCACTCACTAGCAGGCACACACACAAAGCTTACCTGGCACTGGTAGGTGAAGGTGTTATTGTCTGGCCTCTTCATTCCAGCGAGGTCAGCAGCTAACATGTGGTGGTGGGGCTTGTGTTTGGGAGGCGGGGATTAAGTACGGGGATGGGGCATGCGATCGTAATTGCTGTAAATTTTGAAGGGAGACTGACAGATCTCCCTCCGACTGCCAGCCCTCTAATTGCGGCAGTACCAGCCCCCAGCACCTCCCTCTTTACTCCCCTCGGACTGACACAGGCTGTCTGAGTCCGAGAGGAAAATCATTTAAATGAACGCCTAATTTAGGGCTGTCTTATCGGTCCCAGCCACCAAGTGCCACAGCCCACCGGGAAATTTCCTGGTATCCCGGTGGGCTAGTCCAGCCTTGGTTGTGACATATGTATGGAATGGGAGAATTGCAACAATGTCATGGATGCAATTTTTATTTCTGTGGCAAGTACAAAAGAGGAAATAAAATCAAAAGTATATTTGGATTGGTATTGGTCTGGAACACAAGCGGGAGGTCACTTATTATTCCAATACCACCCTTTGACTGGCTTAGAAACCAGAGCTGAGTACAGGAGGTATAATTATTATTCATGGGCAAATATTTAATGTGTTTACAAGGGGCCAACGTCTAATTCTGTGTAAGTTGCCAAGTTTCCTTGCCGGAAACAGAAACAGGAGCATACAACACGGTTACTTTTAAAACCTAAGTGTTTGAGTAATTAGGAATACTGTTAATTTATCCTTTTTTATTTTTTATCTGTTGATTGGTGTAAATAATTTATTAGTTAGCTATTTTTTGTATGCACCGTCACTATTGTTTGTTCCTAAGAAATATTCCTTTGTTACGTTCTGCCACGTTACCTGGTTGCATGTTACCTGAAGTGACCAATTTATTAGTGTTTTGAACTTGCATAGAGATTGTGCTAATTTGTATTTGCTGGGTTTTTATTAAACCCCCAAGTTATTTGGGGGACCAAGGTGCCCCATTTGTAAATTGTTTTGGTGGTGGCAGAGTTAAAAAATATTAATATTTATATTAATATTATTATGAATTGTGGGTGGTTTAGAGGCGGATTTGTATCATTATTTCTGTTCTAGTGCAGACCAATAGTGAATTTTAACCCTTGCACTTGGAGTAGGGTGCATTTGTGATAACCACTGACCCAGAATACTCCATTGAGATGAAGTGGTCCTTTAACTGGATTGCAATGTCATCAACTTTGACCTAAAATGTTTCATGTTTTAGTGAATATCTGTCATCTTTAATTTATAAGTTGGATATAAAACTATATTTTAATAAGGTAGCACTGAACAATTGAGAGCTTCTGTTTGTAGACAATTCATCACGATCACAAATCATTCAAAAATCATAAAAAGAAAAATGTGTGTATATATATATATATATAGACATAGCAGAAATGACCGCACTCCTAGGACTTTATAGAGATTTTCAAATAAAATATAACTTTTATTCAATCCATTAAAAAGTCAACATTTCAGCTCCCACATGGACCTTTCATCAGGACAAAACGTTGACTTTTTAATGGATTGAATAAAAGTTATATTTTATTTGAAAATCTCTATAAAGTCCTTGGAGTGCGGTCATTTATGCTATGTCTACATGATCCTTGCCAGACAAGCACCGGGCACCACAGGATTACCCCAGGAGTATTTGACACCTTTTTGGCTACTCTCACAGGTCTCAGTCAAAACGCCCCACTACTCTCATTACAAGATTTCCCCTTAACAACTGCCAAGTTCATTCAGTACATCAGAACTCTGTTCATCCGACTCGGCCTCAACCCTACAGGGTTTTCTGGTCACTCGTTAAGAATTGGAGCTGCTTCGGCAGCCTCAAGTCACAACGTACCCTCTCACATAATTAAAAGATTAGGCCGATGGAAATCTGCGGTCTACGCCACTTACATTCCACAACCAGAAATAGAACTAAGATCCGCATTCAAAGGTCTTGCTATGTAACCATGCATAATAAAGTGAATTGTTTACTCCAACCTTTTTGCCCTCTTTTATTACAGGCCTACCCCATACGTCGGTTCCGGCACACCACAACCGACTTCCATATTCTGGTATAATCATTATACTTCACGGCTTATGTCCCCGACTACAAATATATATATATATATATATATATATATATAATGTGAACAAACTGTTAGAATGATGGGTTCACTTTAAATTTGAGTAGAAAAGCTACATTTATGTATAATATCAGTTACTGAATAATACCTAGAAAAAGACGGATTTGTGGATGTGAAAGGATAGGAAGAGAAATAGAAAATATGGCTGTATTACATACAACACTGATTAATCCTTAATTGGAAGTGGAAGGAGCCATCTGGGCTAATATAATGCAGACAAGCAATGTGTGTGGGTGGAACTTATATTCAAAAGATAGCATTTAAAACCCCCCAATTATATTTCCCCAAAACACTGGTGAGTAACACATTTTGGTTGCTGTAGTCAAATTAATTATAAAAATTTATAATTTCAGATTTTTTTTAAACCCACAGAAAGGCCATAACAAATCCATACTTTTGGCGCAATATGAGCAATTTTGTGGAAAATGTATGTAGCTGGTTTTAAAATGGGTAACCCCTAATTAGACTTGTGCATAGTGAGCAAATTTGGCTCAGCTGTAATAATTTTCCCCAAAACAAATTATTTTTTTTTGGGACACCTGAATTATGGCCGAATTTGGCAGAATCGAATGTAAGGCTGAGGTGGAATGCTTGGACACTTGGGCCAAAACCAAAGTAAGGTCTAGTGAAGTTGATGTTTGTGGCAGAACCAGCCTCGCCACTGGCGATTGGAGAAGACTGATTGCCAGCCTCCTGCCATGTGACTATGTCCCCTGAGATGTATTGCCTGCTCACCTGTACTGCTGAGGATTGCTACCAACTAGGTGGATTTGGCTATGGAGCTTGTGTAGTGCCCTCTGTTGGTAGCAACAGTAATATGCATTACCTAAATAGCAAGACTGGTAATTTGCATATTTGGGTAGATTTGCATATCGCAAATTTTGCATGCAGGAGAGACATTTTGTGTTAATTATGGTCTTCCCCACTCATTTATGAATATGTAATTATGTTATAATAAGTCACGGTATGTTGCCTGCTATGATTTGACTGTTTGTAATTTTATTGAGTTTTCACGGCAATGTTAATGTAATGACCATATGGGCTAGTCCCAAATAAAATAAAGTTTTAGACAGTTCTACTTCACTCTCAATTTGGAGTCCTGTCTCTTATTGGGGAAATCTGCTACAAGGGATTGCTATGTTCTGCATATTCCCTTGCTATAATCACTCCTAAGCTCTTTTAAGACCTTGTTCCTGCTTCACTCTGAAGGAAGAGAGGTTCGGCCTGCAGTGGTTGTGGTGTCGGCTAGAGTGCTTGGAATCCTCAAGAAGCGCTAGGAGCATCCATCAACGGAGTTACCCAGTCGGGGTGCCAGGTGATCCGTTACAATGTTACTCTTGAATATTGTTATGTATTACTGACTCAGAAGAATGGTTCACAGTTTAATGCAATATCTCTAAACACCTTCAGTCACTCAAGAGGTTATGCCGTGTCACTAAAAACATTTCATTGTTCTCCATCCAATGGATGCATTCCTTCACAGTTGTCGTAAGATTTTCCATATTTTTCTGATATGCTTGGAGCATTTTGGTAGAGGCAAGCCACTTCCTTGTCCTCCACGGGCAATATGTCTGTGCAAGACTTTTTACTGGCCTACCTGAATGTGTCTCAATCTACAGGACTCGGAGCTGTTCATTCATACTATTTATATTTTCATTATAACCTGCTTTTCTCTAGTTTTGATGGATGTTGTTTGTGGTTAAGATGCATTATTTCGCAATTTATAACAAATTTCAAGTATTCCACGAAGCTGTAATCTCAGGAAATCACAAAAAAAACCAACTAATTACAGCATTCTCAATTCAACAAAAAGTAATTGCATTCTTGGTGACAAACTGGAATAAAAAAAATATTTTCCATCTGGTACTCTGCGTTCCGGCTTTTAACATGATTTTTCTTCTCTTAGCAAATACTAGTACTATTTCTGCCCAGCTCTGATATGATCTTGGCATCAGTGCAACAATGGAACATACTATGACATCTTCTCTTAATACGCTCAAATAGAAATCGATGTGGACATGGAACATGATGTTTTTGTTTTCAAAACGATCAAGCCAGCAACACGAAGGGGTTTATTCTCTAAACTGAATTTCAAATTTTAGAGATGAGATGGAAAAATGCCAGATCTGGAGAATTTTTCACAGCATCTAGTGTAGTTAATCATCCCCCCAAATAAAAAAAGATTAAGACTTCGTGCCTATGGAGAATCAGGCCAGGCAGTGTAAGCCCAGAATGTGATGTAGCTGATAGGTCAGGAGGCCACGAGACATAACACTGGAAGAGGAGAAAACAGGAGAAAACACAAAAAGGACTTGGGGAAAGAGACATACAGAGGGGCTGGAGAATGGGAAAAAGAGACAAACAAAGGGGCTGGTATAAAGGAAAAGATACACAGAGGGGAGTTGTAAGAGACACATGAGGGGCGTAAGGCACACAAAGGTAAAAATCGGAGATAAGATACACTAAAGAAGGTAAGACAATCAAAAGAGGGGATCAGAAACACATAAGGGGGGGTTAAGAGAAACAGGTGAAAGTGCATCAGGAATGCATCAGGAATGAGGAAATGCTTATTGGCACGGTGCAGCAACTTGCCGCACATGCGCAATAGCCTCCCAATCCTTTCCTTTTTGAAAGCACCGGTTTGGCTGAGATCATCAGTTTTGATGATCTCAACCAAAGTAAAGAGCGCACTCATAGGACTTCAAAATAAACAAGATAATATTTTTTTTTACAGCTGTGCAACAGCATACATTCACCATTTCCATCCCAGTAGCTAACATTTCTCAATATGTCAAGGTAGTTAGACTGAAACATTGATTATATACAAATGCACGTCTGCATA